AAAAAAAAAAAAAAAATATGTCCTAGAACCAAAAGGAACAGTGTAGGGATTATTACCGCCCAGGTCCAGCCGGGTCTGCCCCATGAGTTTGATGGTGACACTCCAGTGGCCACTAGGTGCAAGAGCTCCTTGCTAAGGAGGGCCATGACAGTGCAGGCTGGTCTTGGGCAAAATCTATCTTTTTCTGGGAGAGGAGTAAAAGGCAGAGAGTGGAGGAAGGTGGCCAAAGAGATTCTGAGGAATCAGTTACAAAGGGGTATCTCACATAAAGGGCAGAGAGAAGGGCTTCTGTCTCCCCTGTCCTATGTCATAGAACACAAGCAGGATTAGGAGGAAGCATAATTTGTCATTAGACAAATTACTTTGGGGGTTTCTTTTTCCATTTCTAACTCCCTCTCTACAATATCTTAATGGGGAATTTAAACAACAAAAAAACCGAATTGAAATATGTAAGAAAAATATCTTATATTGTAGACAGAACCAGAGTCCAAACCCAGTGCAAGATTCACCACCTGGGTTGCCTTGGACAAGCCATTTAACCTTCCGGAGCCTCAGTTTCCTTACTTTTAAGTGAGAAAGATAGCACATGTCTCATAGGCTGTTAGGGAAGAATAAAAGATTCCACAGAGAGAATTTATGCCTGTGCACTCCTACTGCTCCTACTGGGACTGGTGCCTTCTGGTGTAAACGTGCAGGGAGAATGTGGTTGTATAGTCAGGACACAGATTATGGAGGCCAAATGTTGGGCAGGCAATCTGGGGTTCTCCAAAGGGTCTGTCCCAGTGTACTAAAGCACCTCTCCCGGGAGGGTATGAGGACCCAATGAGGAGGAGCCCAGCAGCCTGGCTGGCTCTGGGCCGGCAGACGGCTGTCCCCAGGGGACATTCCCGGATGTCTGCTGTACACTCCCTCAGGGGGCTGGAAGGAGGCATGGAAACTTCCCTTCATCAAGGTGAAACTTTCCACCGGGCTTAGGTCTTGGAGAACCACAGGGCGTCAAGATCGTGGGCTGCCTGCCGCCTGTAACGGGAGCTAGGGCAGGGCCCCCCACTTCCTGTGGGAGCTAATGAGCCTCTAGAAGGAAAGCCAGGAGCTGCTGCTCCAGCCAGATTTGATTTCCTCCTCGTTTGAAGAGTGGTTACTTAACACCTTGGCTGTGACTTTCCCGGCCTCAGAGTCCACAGGTTTCAACCCTTGTATTCCATTCATGCATTTTGATTTCAAAGAATTGCTGAGCTCTATTCTGGAGAGCAGAGGTGGGTTGGAATGAAAGGTAGAGAGGGAAGGAAATGCCAGGACTCTGTGGGCACACCTCAGCCTCCTACCCACCTTCACGGTGTCTGGGCCAGGGGCAGCCCCACATTCTTCCTGCCTCCTGGGTAAGCTCCCAACTGAAGGTGTTTACCCTTTAAAGTGGGAGGAAGGATCTACACAGGAAAGAGACCCGGTGAGTTAAAGACGGAGATAAGTGCAACAGAGTCACCTATCCACTGACTGGTATGATGGAAGAAGAGCCCACAAGGTGCCATCTTTTACACCTGAGTAACACACAAGCACCTTTTAAAGACAAGACTCTCTCCTATCACTTAGGTTCTCAGACACATTTTCCAGTCTGACTTGAGAAACTTGAGTCTTAGTCTTTAAATAGTCTTTCAATGACAGATTATCACTGCAAGAGAAAGTTTTGTCTTTATTGGTTATTAAATGTTTTAGATTATCATTTCAAGATGCTTATAGAATTTATGGACACCCCAGATGTCCAAAACCCCTTAGTTTAAGAAGTATGCAGGCCAGATGCGGTGGCTCACACCTATAATCCTGGCACCCTGGGAGGCTGAGGCAGGTGGATTGCTTGAGCTCATGAGTTCAAGACCAGTCTGAGCAAAAATGAGACCCTCATCTCTACTAAAAATAGAGAAACTGAGGCAAGAGGATTACTTGAGCCCAAGAGTTTGAGGTTGCTGTGAGCTGTGACGCCATGGCACTCTACCCAGGGCAACAGCTTGAGATTCTGCTCCCCTCAAAAAGAAGTACTGCAATAGTGAATAAGAAAAAAAATTGTCTACAACCTAGACAATTTTTCAACCCTTGTATTCCATTCGTGCATTTTGATTTCTACAGCCTAGACTTAGAATTGGAAGGAATATTAAAAATTATCTAGTTCAACCTCGGACTCAGTACAGCGATAATTTCTCTCACCTTGGGGACTTTCTGCTTCAATATATCTAATGACAAATTATGCCCAGTTTATCTATCCATAAAGCTCTCCCCATCTTTCCCACCCTTTAAGCCCCTTCTCTCCCACCAAAAAAAAACCTATACCTTGCCTGGGAAAGAATTAATGGTTAAACATCTGGGCTCTGTAGTGAAACACACCTGAGTTTGGATTCTGGTCTGTTGCTGTGAGACCTGGGGTAAGGTACTTAACCTCAGTCTTCTTATCTGTCACCTGCCTCATCTGACTGTTTTGAAAGTTAGCAAGACCATGAAGATGAGGACTCATTGGGCACAGTATCTGGCATGGAGTAAGAAGTCAAGAAATGTCAACTCTGTTAACATTAAGATTAAGATTTGTTAACCCCTCAAATCTTTTAATTTAAAGAACATTTTATTGATACATAATAGATGTACGTATTTTTAGGGAATGAGTGAAGATTAATTAATTAATTAATTAATTAAAAGTAAGTCGTTTATTTATTTTGAGACAGAGTCTTACTTTGTTGCCCTCAGTAGAGTGCAGTGGCATCATAGCTCACAGCAACCTTAAACGTTTGGGCTCAAGTGATCTTGCCTCAGCCTCCTGAGTAGCTAGGACTACAGAAATCTGCCACATTGCCACATTGTTTTTAGAGATGGGGGTCTTGCTCTTGCTCAGGCTAATCTGGAACTCCTGAGCTCAAGCAATCCACCTGCCTCGGCCTTCCCAGAGTGCTGGGATTATAGGCATGAGCCACCATTCCCGGCTTATGTGTGAGAATGCAATACATTCATATAATGTGTAAAGATCAAGTCAGGGTAATTTGGATATCTATCACCTTAAATATTGACCTTTCCTTTATGCTAGAAACAGTTGAATTATTCCCTCCTAGGTAGTAAATTTATTACTTGATGCAGCACATTGTGTCATGACAATTTGTTTCCACATTAGTTTCCATAAGCTTCTTGAGAGCAGAGCCATCTCTCATTTGTCCCTGAATTCCTCTGCATTCGTCCTGTACCTGCACCACATTCAGTACACGTGGACCTATTGTGCACCTGTTGAATTATACTCTAATTGTGAGAATTTACTCTTAGGAAGAACTAGAATTTCTCCATTTTAATCTACATTTCATCCATTGATCCTGGTCCTACCCTCTGGACAAAACAGCATGCAGAAGTCTAATTCCTTTATGCTTAACAGGCTTTCAGCCCTTTGAAGATAGCCATTATATTTCTGTTTACTCTTGCCTCCTCCAAGTTAAACACACACACACACACCCTTGTTGCTATGACTGTTTATCATGCAAATGGCTTCTGCTCATTCACCATTCATGGTTCACCTCTGAACACACCACAGCCCACCAGTGTCCTTCTTAATGTGTAGTGTTCACAACTGGATACAAAATTACTGTGATAGTCTGGCCAGAGTGGAGAACCTGTGATCACTAGTGCCTGAAATTAGGGCAGCCTCCACCCCAACTATCAGTAACACTTACAGACTAAGGCCAATAGGAGAGAGCATAAAAGTACTAAGTAGAGGCTCCGCACCTGTGGCTCAAGCGGCTAAGGCACCAGCCACATACACCTAAGGTGGCGGGTTCAAATCCAGCCCGGGCCTGCCAAACAACAAGGATGACTGCAACCAAAAAATAGCCAGGCATTGTGGCGGGCACCTGTGGTCCCAGCTACTTGGGA